ACTGTGGGGACCGGGTGCATCTGTGGGTCCTAGGGGTATCTATGTGTCCTGGGGACATCCGTGGGTGCTGAGGACATCCGTGGGTCCCAGGGTTATACACGTGGGTCCTGGGGGACATCCATGGGTCCTAGGGATGTCTGTGGATCCTGGGGGTATCCATGGGTCCCGGGGTATCCATGGGTCCCAGCGACATCCACGGGTCCAAGAGGCATCTGGGGGTGTTGGTGGCATCCGCGTGTCCTGGGGCCATCCGTGGGTCCTGGTGGCATCTCCCAGGCTTCGCGCCCGCCCCGCTAACGTCCCCTCTCCTCTCCCCACAGTGGTGCTGCTGGACTTCGCCAAGGCGCAGGGGGAGCTGGGCTGGCTCACCCAGCCCTACGGCAAAGGGGTGAGCACCCGGGCACCCAGGCAGCCGGCCCCGCTGGCCAGCAGCTCCCCGAGAGCCCACACCGGCCATGGGGACCTCCATGGGGATGGGGACCTCCATGGGGATGGGGATGGGGACATCCATGGGGACAGGGACATCATTGCAGATGGGGACAGGGACACCCATGAGAACCTCCATGGGGATGGGGATGGGAATGGGGACATCCATGGGGATGGGGATGGGAATGGGGACATCCATAGGGACAGGGACATCATTGCGGATGGGGACAGGGACACCCATGAGAACCTCCATGAGGATGGGGATGGGAATGGGGACATCCATAGGGACAGGGACATCATTGCGGATGGGGACAGGGACACCCATGAGAACCTCCATGGGGATGGGGACTGGGACCTCTCTGGGGACAGGAACATCATTGGGGATGGGGACAGGGACCTCCATGAGGACCTCCATGGGGATGGGGACTGGGACATCCATGGGGACGGGAACATCATTGGGGATGGGGACGGGGACCTCCATGAGGACCTCCATGGGGATGGAAACACCCATGGGGACGGGAACATCATTGGGGAGGGGGACACCCATGAGGACCTCCATGGGGACTGGGACGTCCATGGGGATGGGGACTGGGATGTCCATGGGGATGGGGACTGGGACCTCCATGGGGATGGGGACTGGGACATCCATGGGGACAGGAACATCATTGGGGATGGGGACACCCATGAGGACCTCCATGGGGACGGGGACGTCCATGGGGATGGGGATGGGGACGTCCATGGGGATGGGGACGTCCATGGGGACTGGGACATCCATGGGGATGGGGACCTCCACAGGGACAGGGGCTGGGACCTCCGTAGGCCTGGAGCTCATGGAGATGAAGACAGGGACATCCACGGGGATGAGGACAAGGGCAGCCAGGGGGACCAGGGCCACCGCCCACCCTGCCTCGGTTCCCCCCCACAGCCCCCATTTCTCTCTTGGGGGGCAGTGGGACCTGCTGCAGAACGTGCTCAACGACTCCTTGATCTACATCTACTCGGTGTGCAACGTGCTGGAGGGCGAGCAGGAGAACTGGCTACGCACCAACTGGATCTACCGCGGGGTGGCCCAGCGCATCTTCATCGAACTCGGATTCACCGTCCGCGACTGCAACAGCTTCCCCACCGCTGGCAGCGGCTCCTGCAAGGAGACCTTCAACCTCTACTACGCCGAATCCGACGTGGATTACGGCACCAACTTCCAAAAGAGACAATTCAAGAAGATCGACACCATCGCTCCGGATGAAATCACCATCCAGGATGATTTTGCTTCCCGGAACGTTAAGCTCAACGTTGAGGTCCGATCGGTGGGACCTCTCCGCCGGAAAGGTTTCTACTTGGCTTTCCAAGATTTGGGAGCTTGCGTGGCGTTGCTTTCCGTTCGGATTTATTACAAGAAGTGCCCGGCTGTTTTACGGGGTATGGCTC